AAAAAAAATGCTTCTAAAGGATAAAACATTTTGTCTCAAATCATGATACTAATGAAGACACTGCTGTTACTAAATCATAATTTGTCACTGACACCTGTGTGCATAAAATTGTGTTTGTGTGTGTATGTGTGCTCACCATGATTCATTCTGATCATTTTAAACTCAATTGGTGTTCTTCAGTGTCACTGAGTCAGTGCAGCTCATAGCAACCCTTATTCATCCTGAATCATCCTCACAAATGCTGCTCCTGTGTCCTACCTTGTCCAGGATCTTTCTCTGTTTTTTCACCAGGACTGATACGCTTTTCCAGGGACTGGTCTCTCCTGATAATATTTCCAAACACACGAGGCAAAGTCTTGCCACCCTTGCTTCGAAAGAGGATTCTGACTTTACTTCTTCCAAAAGCACAGTTTGTTTTTGCAGTCGTGTAGACAGGGTCACTTTAAGTCAGAACCAAGTTGGTGGCATCTCCTGGCATTCCATGGCACTTTGAATATTCTTTGCCAGTACATAATTGAAATGCATTGGTTCTTCTTTGAGCTTTCTTATAGAATGCCCATTTTCACACACATATGAGGCCATTGAACATGCCATGGCCTGAGTCAGGTGCCCTTCGTCCTCAAAGTGATGTATCTTTATTGTCAACAATTTAAAGAAGACTTATGAAGCCGATTTACCTAATAGCTATGTGTCAGTTGATCAGCTCAATAGTAATTCTTAAATTTGGAGCTTTTAAGATGAATACATACTGTACACCTGAACAAATGTGATATAAAATGACACAATAATGTTATTTCATTTTATTTAAGTGGTGCTCATGTCTTCCCATACAGAATAAGTTTCTCTAGATAAAATAGGTTTCTGAAACAGCTTCGTAGTGAATAGGATGTTTTAACCAAGAGAAGGAACACCATTTGCATGGTGGAGAGAATATTGCCTTTGCCAAACAGAAGAGCCAGCATGGGCCCCCTGCTTCACAGGTATGTACTGGCTGTGTGGCTATGTTGAAGCATTTCAACTTTCTTGCTCCCAATCCATAAATTGGACCTAACCATCACCCTTCCTTGATGGATATGAAGATAATGATGAGTGTGCATGTGTGTGTGTGTATGTTAAATCCTGTGTGTAGTGTCAGTGTCATGGAATAGGACTCTAAAGAGAGCAACTGCTATTCAGATAAATTTGTAAATTACAGCTTCTATTCTGCTCGCAAACACAAAGTTTTCAGACATTTAAATTAAAGGTCTCAAATGAGGACTTTGGAGGATACACAAGTGAAATTCTACCAGAACATTACAATGACTGTATTTAACAAATGCCCACCACACCCTAGTGTTGCCTGCTGAAGCTCCCAATGCTACTGCTTTCTTCAACAGAGGAGGTTCCTTTTTAGTTCTTTGCATAATGGAAGAAGGAATTCCCTAAATATATTTTAAAGGCTTATTTTCATTAACATAAAAATTTTTGGTTTTTTAAAGATTTATTTCAGTGATTTGTATTAACTGACATTTTGCACTATTGGATAGGAAGCTCTACCTTCTAAGTATAATAATTTGCATGGGGAAATGCAATATCAATTATAAATTTCTCTTCCTATAAGAAATAAAACATTGATTAACAGAATCACATGCCTTGGACACAATATTGTGAGGAAAAAAACAAACAAGCTAACAAATATAAATGAGCTGTAGTAATTTTGAGGACAAAGTTGTAACTTTGAAAATTAAGATGTGCCTGACCCGAAGTATGGCATTTCCTTTTGCATGTGAAAGCTGGACCTATACATAAGGAGGACCGAAGGAGAACAGATTTCTTTGAACTCGGTCAAACACACGATATCCTGCAGGGAGAACGAACAAATCTGTCTTAGAAGTGTCAGTAGCATGCTCCTTAGAAGTATGGATGGTGAGAGTTCTTGGGGACCAATCAGGAGGGAGGGACCAATCTCTGGGGAAAGGGATGCATTTTGAAAAAGAGAGGGTCATTCGGGGTCATAGACAGCAGTGATAGTGAGGATGTTGCAGGACTTGACAGTGCCTCTTAGCTGTGCAGACAGGATCACTGAAAGTCAGAGCCAACACAATGGAATCTACCAACAGCATCAACGAACTGCAGCAAGGAGAATTAACAAGTCTACGTTGTTTTCTTCAAGAAAAACAAAGCAGAAAAGTTCATATAATGAACATAGTAAAAGGTATAATGTCTTATGAATTGACATCTCAAACTATAAGATATGATTTCTTAAAAGTTTAAAATTAATTGTAATGTCTTGCATATTTCTAAAACAATTCCAATAACAAATTTTGCTCATTTTCTCTCTAAATCATCCTATCCCTATTTTTTATTTCTGCATTAAAGCACAGCAATTACAAAACCAATTTAGCTGTTTATTATTTAAAATACAGTACTATTTTGTTTCACTAGCACTTAAAAAAATTTTTTTTTCAAAATCATAGAAGTTCTGCATTGATATCTTTAAAGCTTCTTCTAAGAGAAAAAACACACTTTCCTGTTCTGCAATATTTAATTCCTTGTTTTAAAATATTGCTTTTATTTGTAAAATAGCCTTATGTGAAAACATGGAATTTATCTACAGAGAGGAGATAAAAAATATTAAATATTTAAATAATAAGTTGCTTTTGTAAATATCCCAAAGTAACACAAAAGGAAAATAATAAACATAGAGAAAATATTAGCAGTCCAAATTAGGTTTAAGTAATAACCCAAAATAACATGGACAAGTCAGAGAATTACACTGAATTCAATTTCCTTTCCATAATATAATGAGATGTCCAGTTAAAAGGAAGTTATAGGGATAAAAATCAACAGGTATTTTAAAACATTCAGACCACTGAGTTGTATGGTGCATTAATTGTAGGTCTATAAAACTATTTTAAAAGATCAACAGGCATACCATGAAAAGCAAGAATATGGAATGAGTTAGGCATTCAAAAACATGGTACTCAGAAAATTTCAACTCTAGTTCCCTCTTTCCCACATCATCATATCTTATAGATAATTAAAAGTAGCAGGTCAATTAATATGGTAGGGACAAAAACATTCAACAAGTATTTTCAATAAAAATATCAAATCAGCCATATAAAGTCTTCTAAAATATCTAGCCATCAAGTTCCCAAGAACTGATATGTGGATCTTACTTAAATAGGACAAGAACGGCATCCAAACATAATGTAAAATAAAATATTCTAGAGTATGTACCAAAGAAGTAGGTCTTCCAACAGAATAGCTTTATATTCATTTTAGAAATATATTTCATATGTATTTCTAAATCTATATGGACATTCAATTGACCTCATAAAGTTGTCACGTTCCATTATGAATATATTCTACATGATCATATGCAAATGGTGCTAGAGATCATCTTTTTTCAAGACTTGCCATCTTGAAATAAAATAAAATTTTCAAAGAAGCATATATTCTGGAACTGTACAAAGTAAAATTGGTAGTTTTTGAATTATTAAATGTTTTGACCAGGTCATCTTAGTACTCCTGATTTACTTGATGCCATTACATTTCATCAATAACTATCCATTACACAACATTATAAAGAGAAACAACGACAATTCCCAAAGACGTATTCTAACAACAATAATAAAGAGATCATACCTGGAAACAGCTGCTTCGTTGGGGCACTGAGTTGTGCTTGCTTTGAGACTCTGTAAGCAGTATCTGAACCTTTTGCGTTCTTTCTGTTTGTGCAAAATCCCGTTGTTTTTGATATTCCCTCTGGAGAATTGTGAAAATCTAGTGCTTTTAGTACATCAATTGGAGTGGCTGAAAAATAAATTTGAAAAAAAAAATTAAGTAATAAATTATTATTTTTAACAGCAGAAATCGTTTGTCACTCCTCTCTTCTAATCTGTTTATCACCTGCCCACTTTGACTCAATTTCCTAACATTTGAGTAAGACGATTGAGGAAGGTGTGCTGGAGGTGGAGGGTGTTGATGTTGGATACAGTAAAGTCAACCTCACAGGTTTTCACGAGGTTTTTGCAGGCTGGAATTTTTTCAGCTTGGAAAACTGAAGACCTTCAACAAGACGGATTAACCCAGTGGCTGCGTCGATGGGTTCAAGTACAAGAACAATTCTGAAGATGACAGAGGACAGGAAGTGCTTCATTCTGTTGTTCACGGGATCTCTGTGAGTCAGAACTGCCTCGAAGGCATTTAACAACCATTGTCACAGAAGTAGACTGACAGGTATTTGTCCTGGACAGCCAGTAGAAGACTTTGAATATACCAATTTACTAATAATGTAATTCATCTCAAGTTTAATTGATGAAATGTTTAATCACTCCAAGCAATGATATTATTTTGAATTAAAGTTAATTCTAGCACCTTTACATTTTCCCTTTATTTCTAAACTAACTCAACTAGTTGAACTCAAGTTTTTCTATTTGGGTTTTACTCAATAATTCACAAGTCAATCATAGATGATTTTGAATTTTCAAATTTATAACTAATAGTTTAACATTTTAAAACTTAATTATTAAGCCATATCATAAATACAAAGAGACGTTGAAGCTTGTTTAAGGTGATATTCAACATAATATAATTTTATATGTTAGAGTGTCTAACATTAGACTTTATTTAGAGCTGAATCAAGCCCAAAGCACAGTTTTTCCAACTCCACTCTGTAACAGCTACCACAAGTTATAGTGACATGGCCAACATACAAAATCTTACACTTTCTGTTTTTGAACTGGACCTATTTGTATAAACTGGCTTTCATAGACACTCATGGCCCCTGGGCATCAAATACATATCAGATTAAACCAGTAAGCAAGTCAGAAAATGAATCATGTGGTATAAGCATAGTCATACACATTTTATAATCCTTGATACTCAAATTATTTATTTGCTACTGGATTTCTATTTTAAGGAGCACTGATGGTGGTGTGGGTAAAATATTGGGCTGTTAACCTCACAGTCAGCCATTCAAGCCCAACATCTGCTCACCCGTGGGAGAGAGATGAGGCTGTCTGCTCCCATAAAAATGCACAGTTCAGAAACCCAATTTAGTGTTAGTATGAGTCAAAATCAACAAATGGCAGTGTGTTTCTTTTTTGCTCTTGTTTTTTTCTTTTATGCTAACTGTATTCAAAAATAAACAAAATATAGAGAGAATGTTATGTTAAAGATCAGTTAGCATGTATGAGAACTTGACTTTAGCTCGTGTATTTGCAGTCCAATTGGGAGCCACTACCTACACCCTACAAGTATGGATGGGGCAGAATCTACTCAACAGATATGGAGAAGGCAGTATCTACAATTATATATATGTACACAGTCTGTATGGTAAAAAAGACCACGACTGCCTGAAAGTTACAGCTAACAGTACTAAATTGAAATTATTCAGTTAAAAATAATAATAGTACACAGTTTGTAAAACACAATAGATTTGCCATCATATTTAATAATACAAGATGTTTATGAATAAATTGATTCTGAGAGTGCTAAATAAGGATGAAAATAGGAGGCGTTGTAGAATGAAAAATGCCAACATTAGAGTTTATTTCACAAAGTATAAGGTAACCTACCAACAGTAGTGTTTTGTTCATTGAAAATTATCATTTCAACCAATTTTTGCTTATAAAAATTATCAATCTGTTTTATCATTTCATACAACTTTCCTCTAGTTCTTAAATGCTTCCTCCCCCACTATCATGATCCCAATTCTACATTACAAATATGGCTACACCGGAAGATGTACATTGGTACAGATAGGAACTGGAAACACAGGGAATCCAGGACAGATGATCCCTTCAGAACCAGTGGTGAAAGTGG